GAACTGGGAATGAGATATCAAGGAGTGTTCAGATTCAGGTTTAGTGTTTGGCCCATGTACGTCATAGGTTTCAGTGTATATCATACATCCTATTGCATCGTGTCAGGAAGCACACAGTAAGACTTGGAATTCACTGATCTTCATTTATACAGATGGGATTGAGGTGGATGAAGAGATGGAACAGCTGGAGAAAGGGCCCTGGAAGTGCTTATACTTTGTACCGCTAGTGAATGAAATGTAGGGATTTTTCTTTCAAAGCTCCTCATTTGTGTAGTCCTATTTGTCTTAGTGGTATTCATAACTCATTTCTAAGAAGCATGTGTAAGTAAGTGTTTATTGGTGTTTATATAGCTCTGATGATTACTGCTCTTTGCTGGCCCACGTGAAGGAGGAAGTTCAGGGATGTTTACCACCAGCTCTGATTCTGTATCCTGAGCTTGGGCGGCAACAGTCATTGACTTTTAACCCATGCAGACACTAATTCCCTTTGTTGTATAACAAGGTACATGTCTCTTTACCGCTTTCTTGAGCCTTTTCTCTTTTTTCCTCAGTGGCTTTTAGTGGATTAAATTCTAGAATTTGGGGGAGGGCTATTTTCTGAAATTTAAATCAGTTTGATTAGGTTATAAGTTCACATGGTTCAATATTCAGAAGGTACAAAGGAGCATGTAGTTACATTTTAATGTAAATCAAAAGTTACATTTTGATTTAAGGAAAAATTATAGAAATTTTGAAATAACAGTTTTTATTATTAAGAATAATTTAAGGGCCGGCCGAGTGGCGCGGTGGTTAAGAGCTGGCTTGGGACACCAGAGGGCCCCAGTTCGGATCCCACATGTGAGGGCCAGTGACACTGCCCTCCACAGCTAAGATGCTGAACAACAGCTCAACCTGGAGCTGGGCTGCCGTGAGTCGCCAGGACGACTTAGGCTGCAGCCCCTGCTGCAGTGGGTTGCCATGGGCTACCGTGTGTATCCAGCAGCCAGCGTGAGCGGCCAGCAGCCACCATGAGTGGCCGTCCAGAAGCCGGCGACTGATTTGCCTCACCCGGGAAGAGCGCAATGATGGTGCCAACGTGGGCCAGTGAAGCAACGTCCTCCACACCTAGACTGAAGAACAAAAGGACAGCAACTTGTCTGTTCCCCTTCCCCCAATTCCCAGCACTGTTTCCATCACCCAATTCTCCAATAAAAATCTTTAAAAAAAACAAAAAAACAATAATTTAAGATGTGGTATAATGTTATATAGAAACCAGACATTTCATAATAAGCATCAGGAAGCACTTATAAAACACCGAGTTGTGTGACAACAAACTTTAAATATTAGCATATCCATAAACTAAAGCTCTCTAACAAGCAGACAGTAGTTGTTGAACCCAGAAGCTGAGGATTCATCAAAGAATGCTGGGTAGTAAGGAGCTGGCTTAGACCTGCTCCTCTGTATAAAGGAAGAGGGAAAACAGTGTCTGATGTAAGTATGCATGAGAATTTTACATGCTGTATCTAGTCATTTTAAAATTGCTACTGTGCTTGGCCATACTCAGCCCCATGCCAGACAGGAGTCCTCAGCCAAACCTCACAAGTTGGAATGTTTGATAGTGAATTTGTCTGTGATATTGAAAGGCTATCAGGCTCTGTTCTTCTTCCTCCCACGAACAGCCCACTCTGCAAGGCAGAAACCAGAGGAAAGAAATACAACAGTTGGCAACACGTTCCCACTACCCAGCAGATGGAGTTCAAATACCTTGGCCTAACATTCAAGGCCTGCCCACCATACCTTGACTCTGTCCTATCTGCCTACTCTAAACTTGCCTCCGACCGTTCCTCCAAGTGGTTACTCAAGAAATTTGCTTGTGAAATAGAAACGAAACAAAAGGTTTTAAGGCCAGGAGAGCATCAAAGGTCATTATTATCAAAACCAAGTCAGAGGACCCAGCAAAACACCAAGTTGAAGTATGCCAACCCACCTCCAAATGTAATTGGTATGTAGGCCAAAGTGCAGTGTTGGTGAAAGTGGCCGTTTAGCAATAGATACCCCCTCTTAGGGCGTCTGCTGTCCAGACACCTGTTCTTTTGGGAGGAGGAATTTGATGACCTTGCTTTTTCGGAGAGAAGAATTCAGGGCTGTGAGTTAGGAGGAAGGTGACAGTAGTATCATGTAACAATGCCATGGAAGCATTAGCTCTTTGAAGGGGTGAGAGGCCTGAAGGAATCATAGCTCTTTTTAAGGAAAATGGGGCTTGTTGAGCTTTTCTCCTGACGTGCTCCAGGTAAAATGGGAGAGGACTGTGTGAGGAGGTAGCGAATTTGGGAGGATCATTAGTCAGTCTTGCAGCTCCACTTTGGAGCCTCCCGTTTAGCTCTCACATCTGGCTGGACACACGAGCAGTGGCACCTTCTCTTCCTCAGCAGGTGGAACATGTCCCATGAGCCTTGGCTTTCTCAGTGCTGCTTGCCACCCAGACTCCCTGTCTTTGGGAGGCCTTTTGTGAAGGGCCTGCTAGGGATCCAGTGGTAATACTAATAGAGAGGGGACTGATGTTCTAACCTCTTGCTCATGTTAACGGTATTGCAGTGTCCCGTCGTAAACATTCGTTGTCTAGTGCCTCCCTTGCCATTTCCCTTTTGCTCTTCCAAAAGCAGAGGTTATCCCCCTGAAACCGTCCGTGGTCTCTCAGTGGGAAAGCCAAAGAAGATGCTTCCAGTGCTGCTGCAGAGGAGCGAATCACCCTGGGCGTTCATGCGTGAGTGTGTGTGCATGTGTGCACACGTGTCCACACCCAGTTGTCGTCCTCCAGCCTCCGCTTTTACACTGGCCATGTTAGCTTCCCCTCCCCACCCAAACAGCAGGCAGTGGGATGGAGATACTAGGAAGAAGAGGTCTGGGAGCCGTCCTCCCTGGGACAGGGGTTGACTTCTGTGCCAATGCTCAGGAAGGCTCTTGGGTCTACACCTAAGTCTGCCATGGAGAGGGACCCTCTGCAGAGACAAGGAAGTGGTTGTTGGGTTGGAAGGCCCCTCCTACTGCTGCTTTGCTTACTCATGTTAGCCAGTATCGCTGCATGTATTTTCCCAATTTTTCCACCTTGTTTAAAGTCTCTGTTCCTTTTGCTTATGCTCCTATAGCTCCCTAAAATGTTCTTTCTTTCCTCCTTTACTAGCTGGTACCTGCCCATTCTATTAGATTATATCCAGATCTCACCTTTCCCAAGGAAGCGCCCCTATACTCAGCCCTAAGCAAGGCTGGATTAGGTGTCCTTTCCCCAGATGCTGTTGCTCTGAGGCACTCACCTCACTGTATGTGTGTTTCCCCACGTGGACCATTCCATCGTGTCTTGGCACAGGGCCTGGTACATAGCAGATGCTCAAATGTGTGTTAGGCCAGAGGGGCAACAGGGCTGTTTGTGAAAAAGTTTAGAATGAAGGGGTGTGTGTGTGTGTGTGTGTGTAATGACAAACTGCAGTTTGCACATGTCATTTCTTTTTTTTATATAGTTCACATTTTATTATTTTTAGGTTTTAAAAATTATAGTTGACATTTAATATTTTATTAGTTTCAGGTGTATAACATAGCAGTTACACATTTATGTAACTTACAAAGTGATCCCCCGATTAAGTCTAGCACCCACCTGACACCATACGTAGTTATTACATATTATTGACTATATTCCCTATGCTGTCCTTTACATCCCTGTGACTATTTTGTAACTGCCAATTTGTACTTCTTAATCCCTTCCCCTTTTTCACCCAGCCCCTAATCCTCCTCCCATCTGGCAACCATAAGTTTGTTCTCTGTATCTATGAGTTTGTTTCTGTTTTGTTAGTTTGTTTATTTTGTTTTATAGATTCCACATATAAGTGAGATCATATGGTATTTGTCTTTCTCTGTCTGACTTATTTCACTTAGCATAATACCCTTTAGGTCCTTCCATGTGGTCACAAATGCTAAGGTTTTATTCTTTTTTATGGCCGACTAATACTCCATTGTATAAATGTACTGCATCTTTTTTATCCATTCACCTATTGATGGATACTTAGGTTGCTTACATATCTTGGCTACTGTAAATAGTGCTGCAGTGAACATAGGGGTGCATATATCTTTTCAAATTAGTGTTTTGTGTTTCTTCAGATAAATACCCAGAAGTGGAATTGCTAGGTCATAAGGCAGCTCAATTTTTAATTTTTTGAGGAGCCTCTATACTGTTTTCCATAGTGGCTGCACCAGTTTACAATCCCACCAACAGACATGAGGGTTCCCTTTCTCCACATCCACGCCAACACTTGTTGTTTATTGATTTATTGATGATGGCTGTTCTGGCAGGTGTGAGGTGATATCTTATTGTGGTTTTAATTTGAATCTCTGATGATTAGTGACGTTGAGCATCTTTTCATGTGTCTGTTGACCATCTGTATGTCCTCTTTGGAGAACTGTCTATTCAGGTCCTCTGCCAATTTTTTAATTGGATTGTCTAGAAAACAAACTTCTTGAAGGGAAGGAGTCTTATAAATATTCCTTGAACCATCTAAGGCAGTGCTTGCCATGTTGTAAGCCCTCATTAAATGGTCGGTGAATCGAATGAGTGAACACTTTAAGACACTGAACGGTAGGGTTTTCTCCCTGTTGGCAGACGAGACACACTTAGAGTCACACGAGTGAGCTGCATTTGGAACCCAGCTGCCTGCCCCTTTTGAGCAGTCTGAGGCCATGTGCTGAATTATAGCAAGAGTGATGGCTGTCAGTTTTTGTGAGCCCACCCTGGGCCAGGCTAGTGCTGGGCATGTGCTCTGTCCAGTCCTCACAAGAGCTCTGGTATGGGCATCACCGTCCTTGTTTTACAGGCAAGTTCACTGAGGTTCAGAGAGACGTACGGACCTTGCCTTAGATCGCCAGCTAATAAGCTGCTGAGCTGAGGTTCGAACCCAGGTGTGTCTGGCATCCAAACCCATTTTCCCCCCCAGTAAAAGTTGGTCCCTGGCACCTCTTTCCCCTTGTCTTTTCAGACCCATCCTTGGAAGACATGTGTGGCACTGAGTGTGCCCAGCTGGGGGAAGATGGGCAGCGGCCACCACGGTGCACTTCAACTACCTCATCTCAGTCTGAGCCTTCAGAGCAGCGTAGGCGCCACCAAGGCAAGAGCCTAGCCTCTGAGGACCCCAAAAAGAAGAGAGCTCAGAAGCCCTCCCACATGAGGAGAAACATACGGTGAGCTGTGCTCCGGGTAAGAGGAGAAGGGAGGGAGTAGAGGTATCGCCCTCATTTGAAGGCTGTCGGTAGCAGAACAACTGGTTTGAGGAGAGTCCTCTTCCTGAAGGACAGAAGTGTAAGCTGTGTGCTCCTGGTTAATAGTGAAGATGAGCTCAGGACCGCTGAGCTGGGCTGACAGAGGACCCGGGGCAGGTGAAGGTGGCGCCCCATGCCAGCTGGGGACTAGCCCATTCTCTGGAAGCCCTGGGATGACAGGGGGCCCTGGTTGGACACTGTTACTTCTTTATGTTTTCCTTATGTCTCAAAACAAGAGGAGATAAAAGAATCTGAGTTCTCATCGTCTTAGAACTCAACTTCATTTAGCAAGGGGCTGTGTGGTCCAAAGCGGGGCATCTTCCTCGAGCCAGGAGACCAACAGTGTGAGCTTCCTTCACTACCCAGATCTCCAACAGCCCTTCCTTCCACCAAATAACAATTCTGCTATTGAAAGGAGATCAACAATATCTTTTTCTCCTCCTACCCTCATCTTATTTTTTTTAACATAATGACAACTTTAAAATATTACTCTAAGTTTGAGAAATAAGGATGTATAATCATTCATAATCTGACTTTCCCATATACCAACTTTATGTTTTAATACTGATTTTCAGCTTTTGTGAATCACACGTTATTCTGTTACTGTTGATCTGTTATGTGCAGAGATATGTCAGCAGGGGCATCTGTCAGGAAGTTAAATAAGAACGAGCCGAGTGGCTCAGTTGGTTAAGAGCGCGAGCTCTGAGCAACAGGGTCACCAGTTCGATTCCCACATGGGCCAGTGAGCTGTGTCCAAGTTGAGCTGCTACTGAGCTGCCAACAGGTGGCAGGATGGCTCAGCTGGTGAGACCACGTGCTTCTGACAACAAGGTTGCCAGTTTGACTCCTGCATGGTATGGTGGGCTACGCCACCCCTGCAACTAAGATGGAACACGTCACCTTGAGCTGAGTGGCCACGAGCTGCCGATGGGCGGCCGGATAGCGACTGGAGTTGGAGCTAAGCTAGCTGCACCTTCTACAGCTAAGATTGAAGAACAACTTGGCTGTTTCCCTTCCCCACTCTCCCAATAAAGTCTTAAAAAAAAAAAAAAAGGAAGTTAAGTAATATGAAAACTATACAAACCCACAGCCTGATCCTTGAAATCCCCCTGTCCCCCTTTTTTTTCCTTGAGCATTGTGTGTGTTTAGTGGGACTGATGTGGCTTCTCCTCTCACCTCAGCTCTCTGAGCTCCGCAGGGATGATCCCCTCTTTAGCTTGAAATTACATTGCCCAGGTATCAAGTGAACTCAACTACTCTCTCATCAATGTTTAGAAAGCTGCTCCGGGAGGATCAGTTGGAGCCAGTTACCAAAGCAGCACAACAGGAAGAGTTGGAAAGAAGGAAACGCCTAGAGCAGCAGAGGAAGGATTATGCAGCCCCCCTTCCCACCGTTCCCTTGGAATTTCTTCCCGGTAAGCAGTGGAGGGGGCAGGAAAAGGCCTGTGCTGAGGAGAAGAAGCACTTCGCGTGCACCGCGGCCAAGGACAGACGGGAGTAGGGTCGTGGCCTCTTGGGAATCATTTCGAGTCATTCAGCTTTTTGGGAGCACACGATCAGAGGAATCTCATTTAAAGTTAAGATGGATTAAAAAAATATACTCCTCAAATTGATCTTATTTAGATTTTTTCTCCCTTAATTTTGGAACTTAACATGCCAAAGGATTGGGACCTTTTCTAGTGGTTGGATGGATATTAGGAAGTAAGAAACAGTGGAGAAGGGGGAATTTTGAAAGAGAGCTTAGGTTTTTGAGATGCCTTCTAACTTCTCTCCTCAGGGGATAGTCCCGGTGAGAGCAACAAAGGAGGCAGGAAGGTGAATGATTGGGGGAATACGTTTTAAGTAGGTGTGGTTTTGACATTGCCTTCCATCTTTTTTTTCCTAGAGGAAATTGTCTTAAGAGCAAGCGATGGTCCCCAACTGCCTCCTCGGGTCTTGGCCCAGGAAGTCATTTGTTTGGATAGTAGCAGTGGCAGTGAGGATGAAAAAAGCAGTCGAGACGGTAAGATTGAGCCAGAGGTGCCCCTTCTTCCTCCTGACCCAGTGTTCGCCCCGAGAGATTATTAGCTGTACCTTTGCCTAGAAAAGAGTTCAGTCCTTCCTCATTCACTTTGAGGCCTGACTCTGACAAATTTCCCGGAGTCTACTTGGTAAATTTAAGATTTTCCCCTTGTCTTAACTTGAAACCAGAAGAGAAAAATAATAAAAATCAAAATTTTTATGAGTAATGACAGGTCCCACCTTTGTTCCCATGCTCTTTTTCTCTAACAATGGCAGTAAATTACCTCTGCTCCTGGGGTTCTGTTTTTGTTTGGTTTGGTTGGCTGTCTCAGAGGTGATCGAACTGAGCTCTGGAGAGGAGGACACTCTGCACATTGTGGACAGCAGTGAGTCTGTGAGTGAGGACGATGAGGAAGAGGAGAAGGGCGGTACCCACGTGAATGACGTCTTAAACCAGCACGATGCTCTGGGGCGGGTCCTCGTCAATCTCAACCACCCTCCGGAGGAGGAGAATGTCTTCCTGGCCCCGCAATTGGCACGGGCAGTGAAACCTCATCAGGTACAGCAGACCTGGACTCCTCTTCATTTCCTTTCAGCTCCCTTGCTGTGGACATGGCCTGCTGGTGGTTGTTGGCATTGCAGCCTGTAAAGTACTTGTTTGGTGCTACTTGTTAGGCAGCTATTGGCAAAGGCCTGGTCCTTCTTCCTAGCAGCTGATGCTTCAGGATTCCTGATGCAGGGGAAGGGTGGAGCCTCCACTTTGCCCTGTCATGTAGAAGGTGCAGGCTCTCTTGGCTTAATGATCTTGAGCCTCCTTCTGTGAGATCTGCAAGACTAATTGAGATGCTCTCTGGAGAGCAGTGCTTTGATTAGGAAGGGGCTCCAGAAGAAATTGGGAGGCAGAAGTCTGAGGGACTTTCTGACAGGAAGGAGCAGAGTAGTTTGTGTTGACTTAGAGCCTGGAACCAAGACCAGTGCATGAAAGTTCCAGAAAGGCGGAGGTTGACTCAACGTAAAAACTCTAACACTGCTCCTTGTGAAATGGGGTGAGCAGCCCAGGGCAGCCAGGCGAAGGCTGAGGGAAGACTCTGTCAGGAATTTGGTACTGCAGATTCTTGCCTGGGATGGGCCACTGGACCAGGTGAATGTTCTGTGTTTTCTCCAAGAAGACTGTCAGCAGACATAGTCAGGGTAAGGGAAACTTCTGTAGGCGTCCCCACTGGCTGGCTGGTATAATGCCTGCTCATTTACTTAATTCTGACTAATTCCAAAGTGAGTAAAGCTAGAGTCCTGATCTTTGCCAGCCCTTCTGACATTTGTCTCTGTGTGTTCCTTGTCAGATTGGCGGGATCCGGTTCTTGTATGATAACCTGGTTGAGTCCCTGGAGAGGTTTAAGACCAGTAGTGGCTTTGGCTGTATCCTGGCCCACAGCATGGGTCTAGGGAAAACTTTGCAAGTGATCTCCTTCGTCGACGTCCTGTTCCGCCACACGCCAGCTAAAACTGTCCTTGCCATTGTGCCGGTAAGAGTTTGGGGAGGCGGCACCACTTAGTCACCCGCCGAAGAGCCCTGGCTTAATGCCTGACTGGGCACTCAGAAGCTGAATGAGCTCAGCCCTGACCTTGTTCCTTAAAACTCTGTTTTTGGACTTGGCTTTCTGACAGGTTAATACTCTTCAAAATTGGCTGGCAGAGTTCAACATGTGGCTCCCAGCTCCTGAAGCCCTCCCAGCTGACAACAAGCCTGAAGAAGTCCAGCCTCGGTTCTTTAAAGTTCACATCTTGAATGATGAGCACAAGTAGGTGGCCTGCCCTCTCCTCTCTGCCCTTTTCCTTTTAGACTTCTTCCCAGGACCCGGATGACAAGGCAGCCTGTTTGGGTATGAGCCCTGTCCTCTCAGATTCCTTTTGGTTTCTTGATGTCATCCTGTCTCTCTTCTTGCTACTCATGTTTTCTCTACCTAGCTTTTCAGTAAAGTCAGAGTTACGTAGCCTGGGAAACTCCTTGTGTTCTGCTTGAGGATGCTTCTATATCTTGAAAAATCTGCATGCGTGGTCAAATTTTCCCATGTGCACGGGAATAAAAGTCAACATGATGAAACGAAACCTTCCTCTTCTAACTTTTCCCCTTTTTACATTTCCCTTTTCTTAGCAGCTAGCTCATCAGCCTCTTCTTTTAAGCACCAATCTACAGTTGACCTTTAATGGTACAACTTCCAAGCTTTGAAAGGTGCAAACCTTTTTTTGCTTTAGATTTAAATAAAATTATTTCTATCTCTACTCCTTATAGTCAAACCAGTTTCCAAAAATCTGAAGCTATTTTTGGTCCAAGCCAGCTATCCGTGCTGCCTTTCCCCTCACTGGCATGGATGTTAAGAAGGCAGACTTGCTTTTCTGCAGAGGCTGCTTTTGTGATATTTGATCACTCACATCAAAACAGGGAGACTGTGAATGGCCCCACAGGTGGTTGATCACCTGTGCTTCTTTCTTAGATTTCAGGACTGTTGGTCCATGTGTAGTTGATGAAATGCAGCCAGGGCTCAGTTGTTTAGAAATGAAGGGACAGTGCTGAGTGTCATCTGGTCTCTGCTGCTCTTTCTCCATTACTGCCTGTTCTTGGTCTTTATTCATCGGAGCCTGGGCAGACGAAATGCAGGATGTTGCCCTTGCTTTTAGTACCTTGTATTTATTATAGGAATAACTTGAAATTCTCTCCCCAAATATAGACTTGTAGTCATGCATGTACACCCAAGGGGGTTGTCCCTTTTTCTTGCCTGGTGCTACTGAATTTCTGGTTTTTGCTGTTTAACCATCATCAGCGACCCAGTCCATCCTCAGTGCTAGTAGTATCTTCAGGATGCTGGGACAGTCCTTGGGCAGCTGGCCAGCCCTATGATGCTGCCACATGTAGTCTGTGGCCACCAGGTGTTCTGAATAGACGTCAGCACGGCTTTGATTGTGAGGAACACTTCCTGAGGAGCAGTGGATGCGATAATGTTTTCTCTGTGTTCACTCTTGCAGGACAACGGCAGCTCGTGCTAAAGTGATGGCTGATTGGGTGTCAGAGGGTGGGGTGCTACTGATGGGGTACGAAATGTACAGACTCCTCACCCTGAAGAAATCCTTTGCCACAGGGAGACCGAAGAAAACCAAGAAACGCTCTCACCCAGTCATCATTGATCTGGATGAAGAAGACCGACAGCAGGAGTTTCGCAGAGGTGGGCAGCCCATCCCGAGAATACTCTTAGTGGTGTTTCAGGAAAAAAAGAAGTAGTGTCTGCAATAGCTCCTAGTCACACGTGAAGCATTATTAATGTCAGTTGTGTTGTCTTGAACCAGAAATCCTGGTCCCCAACATAGGCGGGATGACCTTCTGGCTCTCAGAAGGTCCTGCTTTCTCGGCAGGCAGTGGACTTCTTGTTGGGCCAGGCCACAGGCAGGCTCCGAGGCGACTTCCCCTGCCCTCCCGGCCCCGTTTCTCTCACAGAGCAGTTGGGAGAGAAACTGCTCCCTTTACCACTTCCTAGAGCTGTTCTGAGATAGCCTTAAGAAACTATTTATAAAGCACTTAAATCACTGATATACAGAGTAATAATATTGTTTGTGAATTTATAAAATAAAAATTTGTCCCGGTTTTTTTTCGTGAAAGCCATTCCTCTCATAGTTCTATGCCCTTTTCTAAGGGGCCTTTGCCTATTTGGGAAAGAAAGGTTTTTTAGGGTTCAGAGGCTGTTTCATTTTATAGGTCTCTTCATCTGTGAGGTTATGTTTGTTCTAGGTTTGCTTCTGTTGTAGAGCTGGGGTGGATTTGCCTTTTGGCAATGACTGGCGAGCGACTGCAGGAAGACCTGTCCTTTAGCTCCCAGCAGCCAGCCCTCAGGTGGCGCCTGCTTGCGACGTTGATGAGAGCCAACCGAAGTGTCTGGTTTATTCCTGTCAGTTTCATCCAGACTCATTTTTAATCCTAGGCTGGTCCTCTGTAAATTCATGCTCTTTGCTGCCCAGTTGGTGTAAGCCCTAGGAATGCAAGTCAGTTTTACTCTTAGCCTAAAGGAGGGTGGGGGCGGGGGGAGGAAAGGAAAAGAGGGAAAAGAGACATTTACTTCAAGAGTCAACAGGCCAGGCTAACGTGTCACCCAATGCGCAGGAGCTGGAATGGCTGGCTCCCTTTCACCAACGGGGGCTGACTCTTGCTTTCCTGCTTCCTTCATTTCTTCTGTCTCCTCCAGGGCGCACCCCCCCTTCTCATAATGTTGACTAGGAGCAGGCCCCTCACCCTCTGACTCCGGATCCTCTTCCCTTCCTAGAGTTTGAGAAGGCCTTGTGCCGCCCTGGCCCCGATGTGGTCATCTGTGACGAGGGACACCGCATCAAAAACTGCCAGGCCAGCACCTCGCAGGCCCTGAAGAACATCCGCTCTCGTCGCCGGGTGGTGCTGACCGGGTACCCCCTGCAGAACAACCTCATCGAGTACTGGTGCATGGTGGACTTTGTGCGCCCAGACTTCCTCGGCACCCGGCAGGAGTTCAGCAACATGTTTGAACGCCCCATCCTGAACGGGCAGTGTATTGACAGCACGCCTCAGGACGTCCGCCTCATGCGATACCGGAGCCACGTCCTGCACAGCCTCCTGGAGGGCTTTGTGCAGAGGTGAGCCATCACAGCCCTGCTTTGGAGCCCTCATAGAGCCCCTGGGGAAGTGGACATGCCACAGCTCTCCTGAAGGGGAACTGTGCCAGTGGGAGGGCCCCTTCCCGGTCGGGCCGTAGTCAGACTTTCTTTTCACTCAGTAGCTTTTTCTGAGTAGCTAGCAGATGATGATACCCACTGTTTGAATCCCCTGAAAGTTTGGCCTAGAAGGGCTTCTCTCCAAAGTAAACCTGGTGACCAGGGATACCCACCTTACCTGCTGAGAAGCAAGAGAGAGCTAACATCCTGCGACTTGGGTGAAAGCGTGGCAATGGTGGTTCTAAGGGGCATGGCCTCGCCCGTTTCAGCATCTCAGTGCATGTCGCTTAGGCTAGCTTAAAGCAGTCCCCGTATTTTTCCTTAAGATGGCATGTGTAGAGAAAGCTCAGAGAAACAGCCCTGGGTCGGGGTAAGAACCTGCCATCCAGTCAGTTACCTGGGGCGAGTCACTCTGCCTCTTGCTTTAGTTTTCATCCTTAAAATGAGTTTCTTCTGATGGTTGCTGATCCAGTCCTCTTAGCAAGGCTGCTGTGAATGTTGAGATCCTCTAGAGGCAGGTGCGGCAGAGCGCAGGGTTCTGTTTTTATCCTGCACTGACCCCTCCTGGCCACACGGCCTTGTCAATTCTGATCTCGACCTTTGTAGGAGAGGCCACACTGTGCTGAAGATTCATCTCCCTGCCAAGGAAGAAAATGTGATCCTGGTGCGGCTCTCCAAGATCCAGCGCGATTTGTACACACAGTTCATGGACCGCTTCCGGGATTGTGGCAGCAGCGGCTGGCTGGGGCTGAACCCCCTCAAGGCTTTCTGTGTGTGCTGCAAGGTGTGTGGAGCCTCAGGGAATAATACCGAGATTCCAACTAAGGAAGCACATGGTCCCAAGGGAGTCCTTGATAAAGGAAGAATAAAGTCAGAGGGGCCACCTTAGTTCACTGCATTGGAAGACTGGGGGCTCCAAGGAGAGTAGACTGAATGCTGCACAATTCCTGGGGTGCCACTGGTAGGCAGCAATGCAGATGGTGCCCCTTGTGGTTATACTCAGCTGCACAACTTGTTATACCAAACTTGGGAAATCACTTCCTTTCTCACTGAGTTTTTCACTTGGAAAAAGGGGGTGGTGGTGGGACATTATGGGGCAGCGCTTTGGACTGCCAGCATGATCAGGATTCAAGAACTACAGAGCTTAGGTTATGAGGGGAGCTTTCCACTGGATTCTGTGCCTAATCAGATGGAGATCTCTTTCGTCCTGATAGTGCTGCGGGTGGTTTGGGGTCAGCGAGGCCCAGCTATCTTTAGCACTAAGCCTTGTGAACAGGCTGATGAACCCTGACTTGCCTTGGATCTGGCCAGGTGCTCCTGGTTGCCTCACGAGGGACCTGTTTCTTTGACAGCTCTCAGGTGTCCTGTTGGGCATTATGCCCAACTGACCACAGCTTTAATAAGGCAATTGAAGGTGTGTGTCTGGGGACAGATGGAGTTTCAAAATATTTCTTTAGTAGCCACAGCCCTAGAGACCAGGGCCAGGACTCTAAAGCAGACGTGGTCTGTGAGGATGCTGCAGAGCTAACACGCCCTTCCCACCCGCCTCCCTCCCCTCCGGGGAACCCCAACTCCTACCAGGAACAGTCCCTGAAATGACTTACGGTCGGTCTTCTAGACATCAGGCACGTTTGTCCATGGGGAGAGACTGGTCTTGTTTCAGTGAAAGTGGAGCATTGTACTGAATAAGGCTAAGAGCGCAAGGCTGTGACACAGCCTTTTTGCTTGTGCGCCAACACACTGACATGCCCCCTGGTATGAACTCTCCCATTCATGTGTCATGGCGATCAGTCTATTAGTGAAAACGGATGTGCAGATTCTTTGGCTCTGAGGGGGTTGGGGTACTGTAAGTTTTGGTGTGACAGTGCATGCTGTGGGAGGTGTGAGTTTGTGCATGTGTCCAGACCCTCTGGGGCACGCTTGCATTGTTCTCTGCCCTGTGCCCCTCTCCTCTAACTTGAACCTCAGATCTGGAATCACCCCGATGTGCTGTATGAAGCCCTTCAGAAGGAGAACCTGGCCAACGAGCAGGACCTAGACGTGGAGGAGCTTGGCTCGGCTGGGACTAGTGCCCGCTGCCCGTCACAGGGGACAAAGGGCAAGAGTGAGGAGAGCGCCTTGGCCTCCTCAATGGGCGAGGCGACCAACAGCAAGTTCCTCCAGGGGGTCGGCTTCAGCCCTTTCCAGGAGCGAGGCAACAACATTGTCACGTACGAATGGGTGAGTCAGGCAGATCCTCTGTGGCCATCCCACTGCTGAGAAGGGCTGTGTAAGGCCTGCATGGGGAGGGTGTGGCGGTGCACAGTGCACCAAACTGCCCAGGTGTGTGCAGAGACCGGGAAAGGCTACCTGTGAGCGCCGTCTTGGAGGGGGAGAATTTTATTCCTAGTGATCTGGCCATGGGCCTGCTCCAAGCTCCCTCATTTCTCCCTTGCAGGCCAAGGACCTTCTGACTAATTACCAGACTGGAGTCCTAGAGAACTCACCCAAGATGGTACTGCTTTTCCACCTGATTGAGGAAAGTGTGAAACTTGGGGACAAGATCCTCGTGTTCAGGTAAAGATGAGTTCCCAAGTGACACTGTGTGTCTCTGGTCAGAGTGACACAGCCCCTGCAGTGAGACTGTCTGGGGTCACACCAGCCCCCTTTTCTTCTCTCTCCATGCTTCTGCAGCCCAGTGCTTCTTAGGAGGACCTTGGCATTTCGCCTCTTTCTTGGAGTTTCTTTCTTGGTCCAGTGCAATTTCTCTGCAGAGAACAATTGAAAACCCTAAGCTAACATTGCAGATCATAGTACAATCCTTCAAGTTGTGGCCCAGGCCAAATCTGGACTGTGGCCTGTTTTTTTATACAGCCTGAGAGCTAGCGTTTGTTTTAAAAGGATTTTTGAAAAAGAAAAAGAGAAAGAAGATGCAGCAGAGACTATATGTGGTCTGCAAAGTCTAAAAAATATTTACTGTCTGGCTATTTACAGAAAACATTTGCTGACCCCTGGTCTAATCTTCTTTTCTATCTGACTTTTATTTATTTATTTATTTATTTATTTATTTAAATAAGCTTTGTAGGGCCAGCCGAGTGGTGCGTTGGTTAAGAACTGGCTTGGGATGCCAGAGGGCCCTGGTTCGGATCCCACATATGAGGGCCAGTGACACTGCCCTCCACAGCTAAGATGCTGAA